GAATGCTAGACAATCATGAAATCCATCTAAGACTAGCTCTTGTCGTTCTACCCATCTTAGATATAGGATCCTAATTTCTACCCTTTGCAAACATTTTTCCTTTTCTTTTCAAACCACACCCATTGGACACTTTTGGTCTCTTTTCTTATCAAAACACAACCCTCATGATCAAAACCTTATTTTTCATTAGCCGCCTAGGGAAACCTTTCTTAAAACACTAAGCTCTTATTTAATCCCACTTTCTTTGTCAACCTTTGCAAATCTTTTCCCTTTTTGGAGACTATCTTACCCAATTATTTCTTTTACTTAGGTATAGAGCTTCTTTTCTTATAACTTTAATTCCCTAGGGACTCCTTTTAAACTCAATGATCAAGCCTTTCACTTCTTATTCCATTCTTTTCTTTTTCTTTTTTCTCCCAAACCCAACCCAAATGTAAAATCTAACCACCTAAATCTTTCATTCCCTAACCAATAGCTAGCTCATAATGTTCCAAATACTAGCTAAAACAAGAGCTAACACTACAAAAAACCGAACCTATTAAGACGTAATTTTAAGACGTAAATTACTAGTCACAGATTTGTGACGGTTTTGAAACAAGTTTGCTACTAATTTTGTTTGTCATCAGTTTGTAGTTATTTTGTCACAATATTATGACGAAGGAGTTCATGACACAAAAGTGTCACAATTTGTAACATAAATATGACGAGTTGTTTGTCAGCACAATTGTGACGATTGGTGACTAATACGTAGTAGAGAATTAGATACAAATTTACAACAAAAATATTAGTTAGCGTTGGTGATGTTATAGTGACTATATGTTTGTCACGACATGTTACGAATCCTTATAAAAAAAAATTGTGGTAAATAGTCACAATATTTTGAAATATATATATCACATATAACTGATTAGATAATAATAACTCATGTTAAAAAATATCCTTAATATATTTTAAAACATTTTTACAAGTATTTTTATTAATATTTTGAAAGAGATAAAGACTCTAAATTATTAGATAAATTTTAAAATTATGTTATTATCTTTTCTTATATTAATAATAAGATTAGGAGTCTCATAAAGTTATACGTGTATATATATACATGTTGCTTTCTCAAAGAAATCATAATTAACGTACTTAGTGCAAGTGCTGGAGAAAACAAATATACAAAACAAAATACCTCAGTGCCATAACAATAGTCGGAGATTTCATAGGTATGTTTTAGTTAAGTTTATTTCTGGTGGTGTTTCAATTTTGTTTGTCTTACTTATTAAGTTAAATATCAAATTTTGCTTGTTCAAACTTTACATATTTACAACGTTGCTTTTAAGGGGAAAAACAAACGACAAGAGACGCATGTCTCTAATTGCCAATCGTTTGGTACAAGAAAAATGTTTTAATGTTTATTGGCTCTGAAAATTATATTTAAGGAAATCTTGAATTTGCAGAAGATGTTAAAAAAGGTTTAGCATATTCTTACGTAATATGAGGTGAAAGAGATTGAAAAACTTATATTCATATCTATATATGCACTATACTAAAAAGAATATCATCTGAACAACATAATGTCAAAATTGAGTTTCTTAATTTGATGTTTTTTGCAGGTCTAGTTTAATGTCGTCGAACAACAATATTCATGTTACAAGAAGATGGATGTATGAAAGAATCGACCACTCAACTAATCTAGTTTCAGAAGAATTTTGCCAAGGATTAGAACTTTTTTTGAAATTTGCAAAGAATCAACCGTTGTTTTTGGAGAAAGGCAAACTCTTTTGTCCATGTTTCAAATGTGAGAATGGTAGACCTCTATTGCAGGAGGATATTGTGTCGAAGCATTTATATAACAGAGGATTTATGCTTAACTATTGGGTTTGGATTTCTCATGGGGAAGATTACAATATTTTAGACATGAACAACGTTGAAGATGCTGTTGGGTCTGAGTCACATACAGAGTCAATAGATCCTTATGTTGAAATGGTTTCAGATGCATTTGGTAATACGGAGTCTGGATTTGATCAAAACATGGTTGAAGAGCCTAATGCTGATGCAAAAAAGTTCTATGATATTTTGAGTGCAGCAAAACATCCAATTTATGATGGATGTAAAACTGAACTTTCCCAATTATCTTTAGCAGCTCGACTCATGAGTCTGAAGACAGATTATAATTTTCCTCAAAATTGTATGGACGCGATCTCTCAAGTATTACAAGAATATTTGCCAGAAGGTAACAACTCAATGCATTCATATTATGATATAAAGAAGCTTATGCGGTCATTGGGTTTACCTTATCATAAAATTGATGTTTGTCAAGATAATTGCATGATATTTTGGAAAGATAGTGAACTCGAAGAGAACTGTCGATTCTGTAGAAAAGATAGATTTCGTCCTATTCAAAAGCCTGGGCAGAAAAAAGTTGCATACCGTCAAATTTTTTATTTGCCAATATCTGATAGATTGAAGAGATTGTATCAATCTAATAGTACAGCAAAAGATATGAGATGGCACGCAGAGCACTCAGTGAATAACGGAGAAATGTGTCATCCTTCTGACGGAGAAGCATGGAAACATTTTCACAAGGTATTCCCTAATTTTGCATCTGAGTCAAGAAATGTATACCTTGGGTTATGTACGGATGGGTTTAATCCATTTGGTATGTCTGGACATAATTATTCATTGTGGCCGGTAATCTTAACACCGTATAATCTGCCACCTGACATGTGCATGAAGCGAGAATTTATGTTTCTATCAGTTTTAGTTCCTGGTCCAAATCATCCGAAGAGAAGTCTGGATATTTTTCTACAACCATTGATAGAAGAGTTGAAAGATTTATGGGTTAACGGCGTACATGCATATGATATTCACACCAAGCAGAACTTTACATTACGAGCTGTACTTATGTGGACAATAAGCGATTTTCCAGCTTATAGTATGCTTTCGGGGTGGACAACACATGGTCGGTTAGCATGTCCTTACTGTATGGAGCAAACTTCTGCTTTTCAGTTGAGAAATGGTAGGAAGACAAGTTGGTTTGACTGTCATCGGTGTTCTTTACCAGTAAATCATAGCTATTGGCGGAACAAGAAAAACTTTAAAAGAGGAAGGGTTGTGAACGATATTCCAGTTCAAATACTAACAGGTGAAGAAATTTTGAATAGAGTCAACCGTTTTCCAAAATCAGTTGATTGTGGAGGGAACCATGGACGACTAGAAGGATATGGTGATAGTCACAACTGGCATAAGCAGAGCATTTTTTGGGAGCTTCCTTACTGGAAATTTCTTATACTCCGGCACAACCTTGACGTGATGCATATTGAAAAAAACTTTTTGGATAATGTCATCAATACTCTACTTAATGTGCAGGGGAAAACGAAAGATAACATCAAATCACGACTTGATTTGAAAGAGTATTGTAACCGGAAAGAACTACATTTAACAGATGATGGAAAGGCACCGGTTCCAATTTTCAGACTACAAGCTGAGGCAAAAACAACCTTTCTAGAGTGGCTCGAAAAAGATGTTAAATTTTCTGATGGGTTTTCATCTAGTCTTTCGAAATGTGTTGATCTTTCTAAGGGAAAATTAACAGGAATGAAAAGCCATGACTGCCATGTCTTAATGCAACGACTAATTCCAATTGCGTTTGCTGAGCTTATGGATAAATCTATACATGAAGCATTGTCAGGTAAGTTTATAATTTTTAATTTGATGGGTTTATATAAATTACTGCTCTCGCTTATATTTATTATAATGTTCATATTTTATTTATTTTTCAATTGTGGTCGTATATAAGTTTTTTTAAGACATTTTACATGTATCATTATTAAAATTTAATAACTCTAATATTATATATATTTTTTATTTTTTAGGTGTGAGCTTATTTTTTCGGGATATTTGTGCAAAAACGCTATACGAAGATAGTATTGCAACGTTACAACAAAATATATGTATTGTTCTTTGTAATTTGGAGAAGATATTTCCACCATCCTTTTTCGATGTTATGGAACATTTGCCTATTCATTTACCACACGAAGCTCGACTTGGAGGACCTGTACAATTTAGATGGATGTATCCTTTTGAACGATACATGGGCCACTTGAAGAAAAAGGTGAAGAATAAAGCAAAAGTAGAAGGTTCGATTGTCGAACAATACATCAATGAAGAAATTTCTACTTTTGCTACTTATTATTTTGAGCCACACATCAAGACGAAAAGTCGAACCGGAGATCGACACTATGATGGAGATGCTCATTATACTCACCAGTCTGATATTCCAGAAATTTTTTCTCAACCAGGGAGGAGTAGTGGTAAATCAAACGAGTTTTGGTTTCAAGATAAAGACTACCATATTGCACGTACGTATATTCTTATGAATTGCGAAGAATTAAATCCATTTGAAAGGTATGTAAACTATTTACTTTACATATGCATAATTAAGGTGAGTTATATAATAAAACTTATTAAACTTTTTATATAGGTTGTTTGATGATAGCATGGCCGTTGCTTATCCTGGGATAACAGGAGATAATCTTACCACACTTAAAGAAAAAGAATTTGCAAGCTGGTTAGAAGAACATGTAAGAAAATCCTATTAATTTTATACTAATTTCAATTCTTAATTTTTGTTCAATTGTAATAGAGGTCATTTTATGCATTGATACAAATTAGGTCGAGAATACTTCGAGAGAGAATTCTTATCCAAAATGGTTGCAAACGCTCGCCCATGGGCCAATGGTACAAGTTACATCTTGGCCTATTTATTTTTTGCCGTGGTTACATATTTCACACATACGATCATGGAAAAGGTAAAAAGAATGCCAATTTTGGAGTTTGTGTGAAAAGCATATCATCTTCTAGCTCAAGTGGAGAATATGATTTTTATGGAGTATTGAGAGAGATTTTGTAAATTCATTATTCTGGACCAGTACATCTTAAAATTGTGGTCTTTAAATGTGATTGGTATGATTCCACCATTGGAGAAGGGGTACGGATAAATAAGTCTGGAATAATCGATGTTAACGTTGCAAAACGTTATGGGAAGTACGACCCTTTCATATTAGCTTCTCAAGCAGATCAAGTATGCTATGTGCCGTATCCACGGCTTACTCAGAAAAGGGGTCAACAATGGAACGCAACAATTGTGATACAACCAAGAGGAAAAGTATTGCTTACTGACAATCTGGATTTTACTCCGTTGCAGAATGAAACTGCTAATCCAATTGTTTTTGATGATTCGTTACAAGTCGAGACACTGACACATCTTCATGGTGAACCAGAAGTGTAATACCTTGTCGTTCTCGATTCTCTCAAGATTTCACAATCTATAATATCATCAAGAAGAGGCCTCACTCACAAAATCAATTCAAGGGTTGAAATGAAAGGTAAGGGTTAAGGGTAAAGGGACTTTCGAATCATTCAAGAGAGTGGTGAAAGGGTAAATGATTCGATTAAGAAGAATTTACCATGAGAATGCATTCAAAAACCATAAGCGAGAGAATTAGATTCAAATTAAGTCCAAATACATAGAGATGCTTCAAAGATCATGTAAGTTTCACACAAGAAAAGATTGCTTTCAAAGAATGCAAAGGTCTAAGCATGAATTTTCATTTCTTTCCAAGATGATCAAGCAACAATGAACCATGACCGAGGGCTTTAAGATTCAATCTTAAGGTTGAATTTCTACAAGGCATTTTAATCATCATCCCCAATGCATATGAAAATGCAATCTACATGCTACTAGACTCAATTCTAGAAATAAAAATGAAAGTGTAAAACTACATGCATTTTTTTTTTTTTGGATTTTTAAAGTTTTTTTTTAATTTTTTTGATTTTTCTCAAAACATAGCTATTTACAATGCAAGACTCAAGAGAAGAAAAACAAAACAAAACACAACATTAGATGGTTAGTCTCTCCCCCAAACTTAATTCACACCGTCTCGGTGTGAGAGAATCCCGAGAAGAAGACTAATGAAAACAAGATAAAACAAAATGGAAATGGTATAGACAATGGTTAGAAATGGTACCATGGAGTGCTCTAACGAGCGTTGCTAGCTTTCTTTGTCCGAGGTTTGCCTTGTTTTTGGATTGGCACTTGGAGAGAGCGTCGTGGTGGATCAATGATCGCGGGGTTGCTTGAAGAACAATCTCCGGTGGATCGTCGAGCTTCTACCTCATCATCATCCTCCGTTGCCTCATAACTTTCTTCATCACCCGCCTCATTGTCTTCTTGGTCCTAATCCTCACTATCTTGAGGGCGGTGCAAGTCCTCATCCTCGGAAGAGATATATCCCTCGGGTTTGAGCTTCTTAACCGTCTTGAAAAGCTTCCCAATGGCATAAGCTTGCCATTTGTTGATCTTTCTTTGAAACTTGATCACGGAAGAAAGCATCTTTTCCGTCTTAGTCTTCGGTTTGAAGTTGAATTTAGGAAGCTCATAAGTGTTGAGGCGGTAAGGATCATCTCGGGATGGTCTAGACGGAGGTGATGGCGAAGTCTCTTGAATCTCCATTGGTTCACCAAGTGGCATTCCACATTGCTCTACACTTACTATGAACTCCACTAGTTCATGGGAGGATAAACAAGTGAGATTACCATCGTCTAAAGGTAGCATACACTCTTGGTCATCCTCATCTATGTCCGTAAACTTGTAGATGAAACGGTTGGGATCATTATTAGCCTTTAACGTCGAGGTGTTGACCAAGTAGACGTAGTCAATGTAAGCGCGTGACGGGCATGGAAGAAACGTGGAGAGATCCACTCCCGCTTTGGTGAAAAGAGGCGTAAGAATCCCGCCAATGTGTATAGCCTTTGCTCGTCCCCTAATGAGCATTTTCTTGTACCCAACAAGATAAGTTGCAAAGACGCAACCGTAGTTCACATCATTCCCAAGGCAATCTTGCACAATTGGTCCCTCACCATATTCATCGGTATCTTCAACCAAAACGTTTTTAAGCCCTTGGAAAGCAAAACACATCTCCGTTGTTGTTGATGTACCCGTCTCACTTCTCCCGAACAAGGCATGGGCGAGGAGTTTCATCGTGTATCGCATGACCGGATGGCGAATCTTTGTGATCTTTGCCTTGTGGCTAACGTAGTTCCCTTTTGCTAGCGCATCCCATAAAACATCAATCTTCGCGAACTTAGGGAAACTCATCAAGCTATTGTTCTCAAAACCATAAGCTTCACAAAGATCCGGGATAGAGATGGTGTAGGCCGTAGACTTGATCTTGAAAGTGATGGGACCCTCTTGAGCTTTAGGAACTCTCGGATTCACAAATGTATACTCCATTGTGCACAAAAAATCGATGGTTGGGTCGGGGTAAGTTGGATAATCCATTCGTGCAAGCACCTCAAGTCCCATTCCAACGAATAACTCATCAAACCTCTCAAGTATCCCCATCTTTTGGAGCAAAGTCCTATCCGCAAAACGGGTTGGATTGATTTCAAGGGGAGAGATTATCTTGAGGTTCTTTTTCTCACTCGCGGTCGAATGCCGAACCGTGGCACTTGAAGGTTCTTTGTTAGCCACGGGCTTTTGGCGTTTGTTACTCGGCTTTTTAGCCCCCATTGTACCTTCAAATTGATCAAAACCAAGTAAATGACAAGAGAAAATCCATAGAAAACTTTAAACCTCAACTCTCAAATTGTCACAAAATAAAAGAATGAAGCACAAAGGGCCAATGTAGAACAAGCATAGTCTCTACAAACCATCAAGAAGAACTAGATGCCACAAACTCAACAAGAATCTCAACTAACTTCACAATCTCAAAATTAAGCAAAATTCTCAATATAAACAAGTTTCCAAAGTTGCTATTGACAAATAGGAATCGAACCCAATAGTAAACACAAGTCTAAAGCATCACAAAAGCAAGAGAAAGAGATTAAAAAACCCAAAATTCTAACACACTTTGCAAATTTTCGTCACTATTATAGCACATGAACCCTAAACCATCAAAACTCAAAATTTCTCACCTAATCATGCAAAATAAGCACCAATAATCAATACCCAAGGTTCACAAGGCATAAATCAAGCCAATCGATCTAACAATCGACCTAGACAAGAATTTTTAATAATTATGCAAACCTTGGAAAAGAGATGAAAAGAGGAGAGATGAAGAGTGTACCTTGATTTTTAGAGAAAGAGCTTACTAAAATCAATTTCCTTGACCAAAATTAAGCAAATTAGCACTTTGAATGAACAAAAACAAGTGAGAATTGAGAGAGTTGTGAGAGTTTGAAAGAGAGAAAAAAATGGAGAAGAAGAAAAACAAATCGATCGGTGGAGAAGAAGAGGTTTTTTGATTTTGAATAAAATCTGACCGGTTAAGGTAATTTCAATCGATTTCTGGGCTTAAACCGGGATGATTTCGGTTCAATTTAAAGAAATTTCGGTTAAGAAGATCCAACCGATCGGTTGCTTGGTCGATTACGTCGAGACAGATACTCTCGGACAAGGACCAACCGACCAAAAAACCGACCGTCTGATCGGTTGCCTTGTCGATCAACCGGTTGGTCGATTGGTCGTTAGGGGACAGTGTCGACGGATCGATAGCAACCGACCTGTCAACCGACCGATCGGTCGATTGCATTTCTTCTTCTCGGTTTCGGTCTTAAACACTTCTTTAGATCAATTCATGAAACTCCATCAAACCAAAAGCACAAAAAAAAACATAAAAACTAGACAAAATAAAGAAAAATATGTACAAGGATACCATGGGATTGCCTCCCAAGTGCGCTTGTTTCACGTCACTAAGCTTGACGTTTCCACGCTATTTAAGCGATTTGAGGTTCCGAGAGAGAAACCGTGGTTCCTTCCTCGATGGAGTCACTTGAAAAATATGGCTTTAACCTCTGACCATTCACAACAAATTCCTTTCCATCCTTGTTCCATAACACGAAAGCACCATACGGTCGAACCTCCTTAATCTTGAATGGACCCGACCAACAAGACTTAAGCTTTCCCGGGAATAACCTCAACCGGGAGTTGAACAGCAGCACTTGATGTCATGAAACTTCTTGGTCCTCTCCTTGTAGATCTTGGCGTTCTCATAAGCTTCAAGACGGATCTCATCAAGGTCATGTAGTTGGATCAAACGCTTCTCCGCCGCGGTCTTGATGTCAAAGTTCAACAACTTAACCGCCCACATAGCTTTATACTCAAGTTCAACCGGGAGATGACAAGACTTTCCATAGAGGAGATTGAACGGAGTAGTACCAATTGGTGTCTTGTATGCGGTTCGGTAAGCCCAAAGAGCATCATCCAACTTCGTAGCCCAATCTTTTCTTGTAGCTCCTACCGTTTTCTCGAGAATTGCCTTGATCTCTCGGTTTGAAATCTCAACTTGACCACTTGTTTGCGGATGGTAAGGCGTGGCTACCTTATGCTTGACTCCGTGCTTCTTAAGGAGACTTTCAAAAACCTTGTTGATGAAGTGCTTCCCTCCATCACTAATAACCACTCTAGGAACTCCAAATCTTAGGAAGATTATTGTCTTGAACAACTTCAATACAACCTTTGCGTCATTCGTTAGACTAGCTACCGCCTCTACCCACTTTGACACATAATCAACCGCTACAAGAATGTAACTATTGCCATAAGAGGAGGGAAATGGTCCCATGAAGTCGATTCCCCACACATCAAAAATCTCAACCTCAAAAATCGGATTTTGTGGCATCTCATTCCTCCTACTTATGTTTCCCTTTCTTTGACAAGAATCACACTTCACTATGAACTCATGAGCATCTTTGAACATAGTAGGCCACCACAATCCCGCTTGTAACACTTTTGAAATCGTCTTGAATGTTGCGAAATGACCTCCAATAGTTGAACCATGGCAATGTTGTAAAATCCCTTCTACTTCCTCTTGAGACACACATCTTCTATAGATCTTATCTTTACAAAGTGTGTAAAGATAAGGATCATCCCAATAAAACCGGTTTACATCCTTGTAGAATTTCTTCTTTTCATAAGCATCTAAGTTAGGCGGTTCTACTCCACATGCTAGGTAGTTTACCACATCCGCATACCAAGGCCCATTCTCATTCAAATTCCTTGCCTCTTCTAGCTTCATCAAAGTCTTGTGGCTTTCATCAAGAAGTTGCACCGCTAAAAGTTGCTCCTCGGGGAGAGAGTCATTGATAGGAATGTCACTCTCAATCCTCAACCGAGAGAGATGATCCGCTACACCATTTTCAGTTCCTTTCTTATCCTTGATCTCAAGATCAAACTCTTGCAAAAGCAAAATCCATCTCAAAAGTCTCGGCTTAGCATCCTTTTTCGCCAACAAGTGCCTTAATGCCGCATGATCCGTGTGCACTATCACCTTAGACCCAACCAAGTAAGACCTAAACTTTTCGAAAGCAAAGACTATGGCAAGTAGTTCTTTCTCCGTCGTGGCATACTTCACTTGTGCATCATGGAGGGTTCTACTTGCATAATAAATCACGTGGAGCTTTTTATCCTTCTTTTGACCCAAAACCGCTCCAACCGCATAGTCACTTGCATCACACATGATCTCAAACGGTAGGTTCCAATCCGGTGCTTGAACAATGGGAGCACTAATCAACTCACTCTTTATTTTCTCAAAGGCCTCAAGACATTCCTCATTGAACTCAAATGCGGTTTCCTTGCACAACAACCGTGTAAGTGGCCTTGCAATCTTCGAGAAATCTTTGATGAACCGTCTATAGAACCCGGCATGACCCAAAAAGCTTCGAATACCCTTAACCGAATTTGGAGGAGCAAGGTTAGTCATCACATCTATCTTTGCTTTGTCAACCTCAATTCCCTTCTCGGATATTTTGTGGCCTAGAACAATCCCTTCTTTGACCATGAAGTGGCATTTCTCCCAATTCAACACCAAGTTTGTCTCCTCACACCTCTTCAAGGCCCTACAAAGATTAGAAAGACAAGAGGAAAAAGAATCTCCATAGACGGAGAAGTCATCCATAAACACTTTAACCACATTCTCAATCAAATCCGAGAAGATCGACATCATGCACCTTTGAAAGGTGGCCGGTGCATTACATAGCCCAAATGGCATCCTTCGATAAGCAAAGGTACCATAAGGGCATGTAAATGTCGTCTTCTCTTGGTCATTAGGGTGAATCGGGATTTGAAAGAAACCGGAATAACCATCAAGAAAGCAATAATGGGTATGATTTGCAAGTCTCTCTAGCATTTGATCAATAAAAGGCAAAGGAAAATGATCTTTTCTAGATGCGGCATTCAACTTTCGATAATCAATACACATTCTATGTCCGGTTATAGTCCTAGTCGGGATTAACTCGTCTTTATCATTTTTAACAACCGTGACTCCACCCTTCTTGGGAACCATGTGTACCGGGGAAACCCAAGTACTATCCGAGATCGGATATATGATTCCCGCATCAAGAAGCTTAAGAATCTCCTTCCGAACAACATCTCTAAGGTTGGGGTTTAACCGCCTTTGATGCTCAACGGAACTCATAGATTCATTTTCAAGATTGATTCTATGGACACATAAAGATTCCGATATTCCTTTTATATCATCTAGTGAATACCCTATAGCCTTTCCATATTTCTTCAATTCTCCTGGAAGGGTGGAGGTTTCCAATTCACTAAGCTCTTCATTAATGATCACCGGGTAAGTAGAGTTTGTTCCAAGAAAAGCGTACCTTAGCCCGGTGGGGAGCGGTTTGAGTTCCACTTTTGGAGCTTTGAGTTCACTCCAATCCCCATCAATGCTAGTCTCATCCTTGCTAGCTCCTTCTCGGTTAGTCACCTTTTCAATCTCCACTACACTTACTTCATGGCTTTGTCTCAACTCAAGGAAACTTGCTTCACCATTTGAAGGCTTATGTGAGTCTAGAATCTTCTCATAGCCTTCACTATCACTTTCAAGCAACCCAAATTCCCCTTGCTTAACCACCAAAGTGCTTTGAAGAGCATCCTCCATTGCCAACTCTTCTAACAACTCATCCGCTAGAGCATCCATCTCCTCGAGATAGAACACTTGTCCCTCGATAGTAGGCTTCCTCATGACCTTGTTGATATCAAATGTCAAGACTTCTTTACCCAATCTCAAATCAATCATTCCTCTTTTCACATCGATCATTGCCCCGGCGGTTCTTAGGAATGGGCGTCCCATAATGAGTGGATCTTTAGGCTCTTCCCCCATCTCTAAAACCACAAAATCTGTTGGAATCTCAAAATGACCAACCATAACCGGCAAGTCTTCTAGCAATCCAACCGGTTTTCTAATTGAGCGATCCGCTAGGACTAGTTGAATCCGACATTCCTTGTAAGTTGTGAAACACAAACGCTTAGCAACCGAGAGAGGCATTAAGCTTATACTTGCTCCCAAATCACACAAGCATCTATCAAAGAGAAGTGGTCCAAGGGCACAAGGGAGAGTAAATGTACCCGGATCTTCTTTCTTCTTGGCTACCACTTTGTGAGTTATGATAGCACTACACTCATGAGACAATATCACCGTTCCTTGTAGAGCTTTCTTTCTCTCTACTACCGCATCCTTTAGAAATTTGTTGTAAGAAGGATTCAACAAGAGAGCATCAATTATGGGCATAGTGATAGTCACTTCCTTCATTTTCTCATTAAACAAGGCCTTGTACTTAGCCTCTTGTTGCTTCTTAAAACGTCCCGGGAATGGGAGTTTTGGTTCGTAAGGTGGAGGAACGAAAGTAGTCTCTTTCTTCTCGGTAGGCTTGGGCGTTTTTGAAAGATCTTCAACCTTGTTTTCTTTCGGTTCTTCAACCAATTTACCCTTCCCTTTATCTTTAATAACCTTCTCGAGTACAACTTCTTCTTCGCAATCTTTACTTCCTTTGTTGAAGTCACTCTCATTCAATACCTCTTCACCTTCATTTATCTCCACCTCCCCATTTTGATTCTCAATGTCCCTATTGAGATCTCCACTAGGTAGATTCTTGCCACTACGAAGTGTGATAGCATTTATGTACTCTTTTGGGTTAGGCTCGGGTTTACCGGGTAAGGTACCGGTTTGTCTCGTTGAAGAGGAAGAAGCTTGGTGTTGCACTTGAGAATTTAGCCTTTCAAACTTGGCATTGAGCTCGCCATAGATGTTGTCTACCTTGTTATGCATAGACTTCATTTGACTAACAAGCTCAATGGCACTTCTTCCTTGCCCTTCAATGATTTGCTTAAGGAGAGCATTAGTGTTGTCTCCTTGTGGTTGAGGGTTAGAGGGAGAGGCTTGAGGTTGGTAGGCTTGGTTGAATTGAGGTTTAGGTTGGAATTGGTGTTGAGGGTTGGTTTGGTAGGTGGATTGTTGGAAACCGGGTGGCTTGGTTGGTGGATACTTTTGGTATTGGGGGTTCTCAACATTGTTGCTTCGGTAGGAGAGGTTTGGGTGGTTTCGGTAGTTGTTGTTGAACTTATTGTAGCCTTGGCCGCCAATGTAGTTTACCTCCTCGTTCCCTTCTATACAACCATCAACATTCTCTTGATAGCCCTCATATACATCGGTCTCGGAAACAAAGTTGACCGGCTTTTGATTCGCAAAGATCATTTTGTCCATTTTATCATTTAGAGCTTTGATCTCTTTGCGATGTTGCTCGTTCAAGTCTTTTGTATCCCTTGAGGTACGGTCATAGTCATCACCGTAGCTACCATTTCTTTGGGCAAGATTCTCCACCAAAGTCATCCCTTCATCCACATCCTTACTCAAAAAGTTACCGTTGCTCGCGGTATCCAATAGCATACGGATTTGAGGTTGCACTCCTCTATACAAGGTACTAAGAAGACACTCCTTGTTAAAACCATGGTGAGGACATTGGAGTTGATATCCTTTGAACCGGTCATATGCTTCACTAAAATTCTCATTGTTCCTTTGAGTGAAGCTCGAGATCTCGTTTCTTAGCTTAGCGGTCCTCGTGTTGGAAAAGAATTTCTTGAGGAAGGCCTTCTTACACTCATCCCACGTCCTTATGGAACCCGGAGCTAATCCTTTTTCCCAAACGTGAGCGCGGTCGCCCAAGGAGAAAGAGAAAAGACGAAGCTTGAAAGCATCCTCGGATATCCTATTTGCTTTGACTGTCCCACAAAGCTTGTCAAAATTGTCTAGGTGATCCAATGGGTCCTCCATGGGTAACCCATGAAACTTGTTTTGACTAACCATTTGGATCAAACTCCCCTTAATCTCAAAGTTGTTAGCATCGACCGGAGGTGCTTGGATACCCGCTCGATTCCCATGAACGTGAGGAGCATCAAATGTGTCTATTGGGCGTGCAACTCTATGTGGATGTTGTGGTGCTTGAGCTTGGGGAGGGTGGAGTGGGTTTTGGCCATTGGGAGGTTCGTTTCCATTAGGACCGTGATCACCAACTTGAGGATGTTGTTGGTTATCCATTCCCAACCTTGCTAAATGCTCAACTCGTTCTTGCTCTCGTCTTGCTCTAGCAATCTCGCGTTCAAACCGACGGATATCTTCTTGTGGCTCGACAAGATGTGATTGCCCGCGACTTCGTAGGTTCATACACCTTCACAACAAGAGAGAACAAAACAAGTAGATGTGTTATGTAACAATTCAAAAGAAATGCTTAGTCTCAAATGAACTAGAAATCTTAATGGCTAATGCAAATGCAAATCGGCAGCGGCGCCAAATTGATGTAGGATTTTATCCGGTTCAAATAATTATCGATCCAAATTTGCAATGATTAACTCACTAAGAATGCACTAGCTAACTTAATCTAAGCTATAAAGATTTACTTGATTTCCAACTATTACTAATAAGGCAATTCAAATCAACTAAAGACAAAATCAAACAAAAGTAAACAAGATGCAAAAGACTAACACAATTCGAAATGAAACTAGGTGGGAAACAACGAAATTCAAACAATAATGAAAAGCGAGTCTTCGAGCTAAGGTCATCGATCTAGGAGGATGAAGTTAAAGGTTATGGAGCTAGCAAATCACTTAAACAAGCATTATCCTTTGGCATAGAACTCTTAATTAGACTAACCCAATTCCATGATGCTAATCCCTACACTAATCAATCAATAATCAACATTTGTCAAATGGCAATCAATCAATTAATGAGCATTCAAACAAGTCTAAATAGCCTCTAAACACCCTAATCAACAATTTTCAAAGGCTAGGAATGTAAAGATCTTAAAGGTTTTTGGTTGGGGAAATTCATCAAACACCTTCCGGGCATGAATTCCCTAAGATCTAGAAACAACTTGATCAATGTTTTTCTAGCATGTTAAACAACCATTAAGCAAGAATAAACATAAATCTAACCCTAAGCTCCATAACCCTACACTAAATCAACCTAGATCTACCACAGCTCAAAGACTCTAAAAAATTTACTCACTAGTCGTTATGATTACACAATAGAAATTGATTATTCTTTGTGAAATCATTAAGAAAGAGAGTAGATTAAGGGAAGAAGGAAGTACTTATATTAAAACTTGAAGATTCAAATACAAGATCTAAAAGAGAACCTTAATCTTTCTTAAAACCCTAAAAACAAAAGCATCCCCTATTCCCAATTGGGATTAGAGAATTTATAGAAAACATGACATTAAACCGAAACAAACCGGAGATAACCGGGTAAACCGGATTTTTGCAATTTTATAACCTTCAACCGACCTACCAATCGACTGGTCGGTCGGTTGACTCGCTGAAGCCAACCGATCGGTTGATCGGTCGATTGCTCTTGGACAGATGCTCTCGGGTATGTGGCAACCGACCTCTCAACCGAGCGAACGGTCGGTTGTCATGTGATGGAAACTCAACCGATCGGTTGATCGGTCGGTTGATCTTGGACAGAAGCTCTCGGGTATGTGGCAACCGACCTCTCAACCGAGCGAACGGTCGGTTGTCATGTGATGGAAACTCAACCGATCGGTTGATCGGTCGGTTGATCTCGGACAGAAGCTCTCGGGATCGACTCAACCGACCTCCTAACCGACCGCTTGGTCGGTTGTCATTCTCTTCCTTCCCTTCTCTTGTTCTTCAACCATGGTTGATCCAATTTTGACTCCAAAACTCGATCTTTTACTCCATTTGTGCTCCATGAACTCCTTAAAACTCCAAGTACCTAATAAAACTCAACAAATGCAAAAATGCAACCTAAACACACTAAATAAGATGAGAAATGCATAAAACTATCCTAGAAACAAAGCTCAAAAACCATTAAAAACCATAGACATCACTCCTCATTATCAAAATCGAACTGGAACTTCCCCAACACGAGATCCGCACCAGCAATCTTGCCCTCCAATTGCCAAATCCGCGGCAGCATAAACAGCAAAGTCTTCAAATCTTGCTTGCGAGGGTTTATACACCTTCCAATAACCGTCTTGGAGTAACCTCGAATGAGCACCGAATTATCAAAAAATGGTATTTTGATCTTCCTCTTTGTGATCATCTCCACCGACTTCTTCCCTGAGGCACCAACCTTCACCAGACCGCTTTGAGCCATTGTATCTGCAACCGAGATCAAAGAATCACTCCTCGTGAGAAAAATGCGAAAGACGAATAAGAAGTTTAAAGAAGTGTAGTGAAGCCAGAGAACTCCATGTATTGCCTTTAAATAGTTTTCATAGTTGAACCACCAATCCCACAATCGAATCCGCATTAACTCCCCAATCTTTTGCAAATCATCCATGGTCGCTCCCATATCCGCTTTCATCGCTGGGTATGATTTCCTTACTTCCCATAAAGAACACCGAATCCGGATCCACTTTCTGAATTTGAGTCGAATCCACTTAACTTGATCTGTCAGTCTCCGTGAACCATATCTCCGCGATTGCAAGTACCCAATCACAGATCCGATTCCCTCCCCCCACAGACATGGAAAAATAAATCTCACTGCCATAAACGAGCCATCCCCCTATCCTCCAAATTCCTTCGAAGATGCACTCTTTTCTCCTCGTGATTGTAACCTTAGGATCCCCAATCTCCCCATAATCCACCAGATTGATTGCCCAGATCAACCGATAACCAATCTCCATCACAAACCTTAGTTAACCTAGATCCGCCGCCATCGCCTTCCTTCTTTTCTCTCGAGGGTTTTTTTTTTGACTGATTTCCTCTCTCAATGTCCATATAATTTTCATGTTTTTTTTTAATTGTAGAACAAATGTGTTTTTTTGTTGTAACAAATGTACAACAAATGTGTTTTTTTGTTTTTTTTAATACAAACCCGTTTTTACAACAATGTACAATGGACAACAAATGTGTTTTTTTGTTTTTTTTAATTACAAACACGTTTTTAAGGAACTTGTTTATTGATAACATATGTTTCATATATAGTTAAACAAGCATGTTTGACCGACAAAAAAAACGAAACAAAGAACAAGTATGTAGTAGGTTGTTGCACTTTTGTTACAATCAATTGTTTGACATGAGGTGTTGTACATGTCTAGGTTACCATACTCGTAACTGACAGAGGGTCCTAAGAAAATTATTAATTTAATCAAACATAAACTGACACATAATCCTGTTTAATTATAAAATCTAAACTCTAATTCCTATTCGTAATACCAAATAAACATATATTAACTGTAAAATCTAACTTTATTTTCATTTGTAAATCAGAACCGACATGTAATCTCATTTAATTGTAAAATCTAAATCCCACTCCTCTTTTATATACCCAAACCAACATATACCTTCCCAAATTTATTTTTTGGCCCCTAAGCACACGGGTAATTTGGGGTTATCCAAAGACTGCATTGTCCTTTGCTATTACCCCAAATCGAATTGGGATCGATAAACCCTAAGTTTAGTGTAATTCCATTAACCTCGGTTTAGTGATTCCGTCAATCCGATTATATTTTGTTAAGCGGTTTCTTCGATTCGACAATTTTTATATACTTGATGTATTAATAGACAACAAATTAATAAACCATGTATTTTGTTTCCAATCAAATAACATTACGTATTCAACTTCCAAATTAAAATTAGACGGAGAATTTTTATGGAATTTTCCCGTTAATATTCTCTAAAATATAAAATATTAACCTTATCCTTGAGCTTTTTTTGGTCTTTGTTTTGCATGTAGGCAATCTTAGCAAAATTTAATTTATTTTATTACAAAAAAACTAATATTGTTGAGCATTAAAAAACCAATCCCTAACCGATTATAGCCTAATTTCTTTAAAGATATGATACTCATTTTCTTTCTACTTCACCTTTGCGTGGCCGGATTGAATGGTACAGTAGTAAATAATTTTTTTTTTAATTTAACCAGTCTATTTTCAAATATATTCTAGATCCATCACTGATCTCACTAATTAGGAAAAAAAGACAAACACCAAGAGTGTCTCAAAACAAATACTTTGATATACCCTAAGACACTTGCTTCCAAGCTAATATTTTGAATAAAAATATTATATTTAAATACGAATATTATTTAAGTGAGAACCTTATTTAAGAAGATTTACCGATGTAGAAGGTCTCATACTTTTGGTTAAAACCTAGATATTTGTTTGTTTAAAATCAGTATGTTCTTTCGGTTCAAATGTCCACATTTTTACCAAATTCTCTCTCTTCTCCCTCTAGACTTTTTAGAGAGGGCAAGTCCGTTTTCTCTTCCGGCATCAACGGTGGAGGTCTTATCGTTGTTTGGCCAGATCTCAACCGGAATCATATGGCTCTCATTTGTGATGTCCCGTTTCTCTTTCGACGTTGTTTGGTCCTTTTGAAGGACCTTAGTCGGCTTATCTTCTGACATGGGTTGTTTCTATAACATCTTTGGTCGGCTAGCTTCTAGTACAAGTTAGCTCCCACAGCTACTATGGCACGTTTTATGTTTTTTTTTCTTTGTTCATTCATTTGTCTATAGCTTCGCTTAGCTTTGATTAATTTCTTTGATTAATTCCTTAGATCTAGGGGTGTAATTCCTTGATCCTCCCATGTTTAAGGGCCTGAATTTGGTCTTCTCGCTTAATGGGTTTTAATTTATTAAGAGAAAATCGCAGTGATGGATTGGGGTGTGTTTTGGTGTTTTTGGATTGTTTTAATGAAATTGAGGTTGATTTCCTTCTTTTGAAGCTTTGGATTCGTTTGATTTTATATTTTAGGGTTAGAGGCTTTTTAGATTTAGTGGCTGTTCCATGGAGTTCTTGAGCCGTTTGTGTTGGAAGGTTTTTGAACTCACAAATTGGAAAGAAAATTTTGGTGGGGATTTTTTAGTTTTGGAGGTTGATATAACACCCCCGAACCAATCTACGGACAATAGACGGCCCAAGAGTGTCACTAACGAGCACTACGGACGATCTGACCAAGTAACACACACAAAGCTAACGTACCCGGTCAGTCCATTTATAATACATGTCCCTCCCATTCACGATACAAGGCTTGCGTTGTTCGGAAAAAACCCAATTGCACTCAACAACCATCACAAATATAAAATACGAGGTTTTCCGGTGACACATGGCGGTTTTCTGGTGATAAATGGCGGTTTTCTGGTGACACATGGCGGAGCTATCCAACCCTCGTCACATAGTTCCCAAAATATGGCGA